AAGACCGACGGACGAACACCCTCTCTCTCTCTCTCTCTCTCTCTCTCGAACTGGATCGACCTCTTCTTCTTCCTCATTCAACATCCCTTCTCGGAAATCCTCGAGGAGAGGAGGCAAGCCTACCTTCTCTCTTTCGTTCTGCCACCTTTTTCCTTTTATCTCGCAAAGGAAAAGATTCTACCGACATACCGCCGAGTTGGTTCCGCAATAATCATGGAAAAACATGACGAAGGTTCAATTTTCCGGGAAATACGAGGTCTTGAACGGGCAGAGAACGACGCTTGGAGAGTGTCTTGAAGAGGAGAGGAGTGTGGGATCGGAACGAATGCTCTCTCTCGAAGAGAAATATTCTCAAGTACGATAATTAATTTTCAAAAGTTGTTTCAGATTTGTTCTGTCCGAAGAAGAATTATCGAAGGTATCGGGTTAAATATATTTGGAAAATCGATGAAAAGTTTCGTTTCGAACGATATATATGTTATATTTTTAAAACAATTTGCCAATGATTATTAAATTATTTTGTCTTGTACACGTTTACATCTAGGTGTTACATCTAGGAATCTTATCGAGTTTGAAAAGTTACGAAGAATTTCCTTTAGGATCCACTTGTGCAGATTTATCGAGTTTTTCATCCGCGGTCTTCAATTATGTAAAATATCACGCGCCGTTTTCAAGCGCAAAATGATATTTTATATCGAGGAAAAATGTAAAATTATTCGAAAAAAAAAAAATTTATTTCGCATCATTTCTCGTAAATTAATGTTTCTCTCGATAATTGGCCAATTTTGCGCGATCGAATGGAGGATAATAATACGGTTTAACGACATTATTTTTAACGTTTATTAAAAGGTTATGGTTATACTCTTTCCTTCTTTTTTTCTATCTTTAATACGAGGATAATATTTATGGTTGTTTCGAGGTGGCAAGGAGGCGAGACTAAATATGATATCTGTGCGTTAAATGAGTTGTTCAGCTTGAGAGGAAGTAGTAGTATGAGACGATGCTTGCTCGACACGTTCTTGATTAAATGCTTCGTGACGCTGTTCACTGCGTTTAATATGGATTCCTCGAACAGCTTCTTCTCGAGGGAATAGTTAAGGCGCACCATATTTCATGATAAAATGTTTATTCGCTCGACGGTTATTTCTTAAGTCTCGTGTTTCGATGAAGTTTAACGCAAAGTTTGTGAACTATATAACACTTTATCGATATAGGAAAACTCTTATGCTCCTTAAATTTTCTAATTATTAGTTGGGATCAAAAGTATTCCCATAATATTACTTTTTTTTGCAATTAAATTGCAAATATCTTCGTGGTAAAAAGAATTAAACGTCACGTACGATATTCTTTCAACTTTTTGAACGTGTACGTTTTAAAATGTTAATCAATAACGAATTGTTCAATTTAATAAGTTGATACGAAAATCAAAACTTCTCCTTTTTTTTTAAAACAAATTACGAATCGATCGATCGAATCTCAAAAAAGAATCGAGAACTAATTCCCAGCACTAACCGTGTATCCGTTTCGTGTGTTGCAGGTCTTAATCCGGCCGAGGAGAGGCATGTGAGTATCAAACAATTTGGTCGATAGAGAAACGGTGGAATCGCGGTTCAAGCCAATGGGCAATCGATAACAGTCTATTAACAACGAATATGGTTATTCGCCCCGGCGTTCCATCGTAAATAGCAATATCGTTGCACGGGGGGATGTCGGGATTCCCCGCGATCCGCCTCGAACACGACGAATTTCGATTCCGACCGAGACGATAATCCTATCGAGAAGGCGATGAACTTCTCCTCGCGACAGATTCACCCTTTCCAAGAAGCGAATGCAGCCAACACGTGCACCGATAAGCGTTTAATCCCTACCACCATACCGCCACCTCGATTTCCGCCTCGCGTTTTCCCCTTAAACGCCACGTGACGTGTTCGACGAAAAATCGATCGCAAAGGGAGACCTTTTCTTTTCGTATAAATTTCTTCGAGCCGCAAAATTTCCAACTGGAATATAATCGGAGTAAACTTTTTTCTTTTTTATCTATATTCAAATTTGAAGAAGATGGTTATAAATGTTAGAATTGGAATTAGAATCTTGGAGGAAAAAAGGAAAGTGTAATTCTACGATTGATTAAGTCTAAGTCGATTAATCCTTCCTGAAACTTTCAATTTCAAATTTTTATATTCACGATTATTTCACGATCTCGATTCGATCATGGGTATAAACTAAATGGAACGAAATTATTTGCGTATCCATCGATCACTATTACCATGTTAAAAGTTTTTTTCCAAATAACAAAAATCCAACGACCAGCCATCGCAATTATTTTTAGCCCATCGTAGCTGGGAAATAATACAGGCTCGATCCAATTAATTTCAAAAATTCAACTCTCGGCAAAAAACTCGATATATATATATATATGTATACACGGTATAACTTTTCCCCCCAAATCAACCACACGTTTACCATTAACCGATACAACTTCTAATTCATGACCAATTTACCCACCGTTGCGTGTACACGCATGCACGCGCGCACACGCACACACCGTGTGGCAAATAAACTCGTTCTATTTCCATCGAATCCATACCATTTTCCACCCTCTCCCAGTTTCGTTCGTTAAAACAAACGAATCTATGAATTTATTTCCAACCGAGGTCCGATAGGGGATCGGGGAATTAAACAGATTCGCAATTACAATCTGCGAATGAACGACGCTCGATCGAATTTCGAGAGGAGGGGGAGGCGCGTATCGGTTCGTTTTACCCTCGCGTTTCCCCTCGATGGAGGGGAAAACGGATACGTTTCATCGTAAAATCCGACCGTTTCCCGGCTTTTATGGGTCGCGTGGCCTCTGTTCTCGGGGGAAAAAAAAAAGTATCGCGCCCAGTGACCGCGTGTGTGTACGTGCGTATCCGAATCGGGGAACGGAAGTGGAAGATTTTCGCCGAGAGTGGGAAGAACCGGGCTAGAACCGCGTCGAATTTCATCCCGTAAAAGAAATTAGAGCATCGTTGGAGTACATTTGACCGTGTGCGTAAGCAAGCAAGCAGTTGAAAGGGAATACCTGGGGAACAAATAAAATCAGGGGGAGACGAGAAGGAAGAAACTGGCCGAGCAGAGGCAGAAGGGAGATGAGGTGAACAAATGGGGTGAAAGAGGTAGACAAGAGAGGGTTTAGAGGGGGAGAGAAGAGGCGAATAAAAGGTGGAAAGAAGAAAGAGAAGGTTGCGGATCAGCCGGTGGAAGAGGAGGAGGAGGAAACCTGAAATGGACGTAAAAGCCTGAACACAGGGCTGTAAAAAGCTCGTCGTCAAATGCATCCCCGTTCTTCTCTCCGCCGTTATCCACTCTGCCCTCTCTTTCTTTCCTCTCTGCCTTTTTACCCCCCTTCACTCCTCCACGCACGCCCTTTACCCCACCTTTGATAGCATAAAGCGACTAGTGGGCGCGGCGCGCGTTTATTAAAAGCGCTCCGGGCTGGCAAAAAAGACTCGAGAAAGAGAGAGAAGACCGCTTAGGGAGTCAGCGTGTTCTCTCCTCCTCCTCCTCCTCCTCTTCCTTCTCTTCCCTCCGCGTTCCACTTCCGATCTCTTGAGTGACCCGGCGGATCGTTTCGCGATCGATCGCAAAAAAGTCGCCCGATGATGAAATGATCTTTGAAAAAGGAGTGATCGTGTCTTTTTTGGGGTTGAGAATCGGGACGTCTCGTGAAATTTTGTTTGTTTCAAAAAGAATTAAAAAACAATTCCCCCGTAATATAATCTCACAAATCCACGATGGGAGTATGAAATCGTTTTTTAAAATTTTTAACACTTTAACACTGTAAAACAAACCTAATAATCAACACCGAGTATTTAAAATATCGATAATAAAAAACACCTCGTGATGAACGCCAACGAAATCGCAATTTCGAAAGAATATCATCGCCGAAAAATTATTTATCGCGACGCATTAATCGCGGGAAGGGGAGGGGGGATGGGGGGACGCCTAACACGATTGCACAAGGATCGCGCACTCGTTCGACGCGAGCGGGAATCGGTCAATAACGATCGTTAATTAATACATGAAAGCGTTTTATAAAACACCCCTCCCTACCCCCACCCAAATGACTCAAATGCACGTTGGACAGGCGGGGGCCAAAATCCGCGTTATATTATTCGGTGACCGAGTGATTTCCAGCGTAATTATCTTTTCGGCGTGGCTCTTTTCCGCGGCCGTCATTACGGGGAGGGGGAGGGGGGATTGGTGGGTGAGTGGGCGAGGGAGGAGGGCCGTGTTTTAACAGCGTACACACCCAGCATAACTTGCGCAATTTGCCGGCCGATGCCTGTGGCCCATGGCCCGCGGCCGGCCCGATAATTAGCGTCCGTTTAATATGCACAATTATTACGGATTGATAATTGGGGCTGCGCATCCATTACACCGGCATTGAGATAGATGGTAATAGGTTTCCATCGGTATTAACTCTCTCTCCCTCCCTCCCTCGTGTTTCTCGCTTGTTTCTCCTCACTCCCCCTCTCTCTCTTTCGCTCTTACTCGCTCTTACTCTTTCTCTCCTTGTTGGTTGGGGGGGGGGGGGGGAGTCTCTGGGGATCGCGCGTAATCTCGCCACGCTTTCATAATGCGCACGAACTCCGGGTGTCTAGCGATGGGACCAATTCGATTGTATCCGTTCCGGAAATTTTCGATCAAGGCAGGCCGATCCTCGGTTCGATTTTCTTTTCGATCGTACGTGAAATTTCCGTTTCGTTTCCCCTCTATTTTTTATCAAATATTAAATCACGTTTTCGATCGTGAATTTGAATTTTTTATTAAATTTCGAAGATATGATTCTTCCGTCGATACGAGTTTCCTTCGTCGAAAATTTACAAATATATATATATATAATATTTTTGAATTCTTTACTTTCCACCCTTCAAAATCCCTATTTTAATTGTTCCGCAATAATTCACTTATTCAAAAACGCGAGCGGATCTTCCCCATCGCTACCTCAATTTCATCTCTCTCTCTTTCTCTCTCTCCATCCCTTTCATCGTCGTCGTTCACACGTCTCTATCCTCTCTCATCGCTCCTCCCCCATCTCTTCTCTCTCTCTCTCTCTTCCTCCCGCTAATCCTCTTTCGCTACCTGTCCCCCATCCCTCCCTCTCGCCATTTCCCTTTCACGCTCTCCCTTCCATCGAACCTGTATTTATCTCCGTTGCACACTCCCCGCCCGCGCCCCTCTCCCAGCCCCTCGCAGGATCCCGTACAACCACCAGCCCGAGGGCTATGAAATTGAAATATGAATGCTAATGGGGTGGTTGGCTCGTGTCGCGTCGTATAATGTTACTGATTGCCAGTACGCCGGTCCTTTTACTCTTCCCTCCTTCCCTCTCTCCCCCTCTCTCTCCATCACCAACCCGCCGCTTTGCCGGGGAACAGAATACACGACGCGTGCTCCTCCGCGTCTTGCTCGCTTGCGTGTCGCGTAATTGGAACTCCAAATAATGCGCAGTTTTCGACCCGGGTTCATCGTGGTCGGGATCAAAATGCGCGCGTTTAAACGAGAGAGGATGGAGGGGGGAGAGAGAGAGAGAGAGAGATACATCGCGGTTGTTTGGCTTTCCGCGTTTCGGTGAAGACTGGCGAGAGAATCGGGGAGGGGGAGGACGTATAGAAATTTATATTTGTTTGTTTATCCACGGTGAATTCCCTACCTACCGGTGCGCGAGCAAACGTTTGCTCTCGAGCGGCAGGTAGACGACGAGACGGGAGCCGGGATTACGAGCAGCGCGAGGCGCAATTTAAAATTAACCCCTGGGAACCGAGAGGGGGGGGGGAGGAGGAGGGAGGAGCACCAAGATGCTGCTGCTCTCCGCGGGATCGGTGTGCAAACACCGGGTGAACGCGACGCGGAAGAGCGCTTAAAAAAGAAAAAAAGCCTCGATCCTTCCCCTCTTTCTGCTTTCGAGGGATTGGGCGTGTCGTTTCTGCGTTACTCGAGGGGATGAAATTTGCGCGATATATCGGATACATTTGTCGTTTACAGGTGTGGATTTAATTTGGAATAATAATATTTTAACGACTCGGCTTGATTTTTCGATTTTTTCGAAAGTTGGCTTTTTCGAAAGGTGTTTTATTAATTGTATGAACGGGAGCTTTGATTGAAAAATCGCAAAAATAACGATTAAATAACGATCAGCGAAGCGATAAACAACTTGTTTCGCAACAATTTCAACTTTGCTCGATAGAAACCTATATGGAATAAAAAATTAAATTGTAGGATTATTGTTCGCTCCTCTTTGCATATTCTTCAAAGTGACATTCCGCCAACATACGCACGCACACACATACACACACACACCTCGTCATTGAAAGGATAAGAAAAACAGTCTTGTTTTCCATCGATCCACTTTGTCACGTCGGCTCGGATTTATATACCTGCTCGCGTGTCATACGATAAAACTGCCATTCCGCTCGCCCCAGCTAGTTACCTTGCCCGCCTTCTCGCCTCTCCATTCCCTCGTCTCGAACCCTCTTTTTGTCGCCATCCCCCCTCACTTACCCTTTGCGATCCGATCC